CTGCTAAAACTCTCAACAATTAATCTGTTGTTTCAGTAGAAAGTGGCAAGAGGTTAATAATCAGAGACATTTTCGAAGTGTTTACTATAAGCTCTAACCTCATGACATACAGGGTTAATGAACAGCGTTGGTCTGCCTGTATTAGTATTCTGCCCTCTCTTGTCTCCCACTAGCCCAGGTGGCTGAAGGGAAGTCAGATCTTCTTTGAGACATTTTGGCAACGAAAACAAAACCATGACAGCAAAGCGGGCATTTAGCTGCAGATGGAAGCCGTTATTTTTGTGTGGTTTTAATACAGATTGGCTTTGATAGTGTTAGAACAAAGATTTTAAGAGCATTTGAAAATGACTCGCTCGCCAAAATATTAATCCGAGCATTTTGCAAAGACAACAAAGTAAAACATGCCTTAAAACTTTGTTCTTTTTGAAACAGGTGAAGCATCCACAAATCAGTTTAAAGACGAAAATGCAGGTGCACAGGAAGTTAATCGGATTATAGAAGGTGCATGCTTCCTGCATGAGCAAAACAAACATTGGAATAAGTAAAAGGTAAACAAATAATGCAATGAACTAAATTCCTGAACCACACCTGCTTCCAGTGAACACAGAAGGTGGTTGCTTGACTGAACCATGGTTGGGACTTCCTGTTCTTTTGTAGGGGGTGGGGCAAAGACAGCAGGTGCAAATATTAGTTTTGATCTTTATTCTTGACTACCATTTTAAGTGTCTTTCTGTTCAATATGAAACAAATACTATGACAACCTGTTTAGATATACAACATAGCATGCTCTAAAAAGCACTGCGCTCTTTGTCCTCCAAACAGGACACACCTACAGCACGGCACACTTCACATTTTATTACTTCTGACTTTTTCCAGTACTGGAACATACAGAGAAACACTCAGCTCCAGATTACAACCATTCAAGCTCATTTCAATTTCAATACGGCCATATAGATTTCATGCATTCCTGAAATGTTTTGAGGTGGGGGGTGACATGACAGAAGTAAATGTCCGAAACATTTGCTGTGGCCCTGGTGGTATTCTTTCAAATTAATGACTTAGAAGACATTGCTTTCTCAACTTCACAACTTCTTGTGGAGCTGTTAAGTGCTGCAACTGCTTAAGAAAAAAAATCCCTCGAAGAAATAGGTCTGATCATGAGCATCATCAATCAATCTCCAGAAGTAAATATTGCATTTGCCCTTTAGCATTGTGTTTTATATAAGCCTGTTACATTATTCCACCTTGTTACGTTTGTTTCTGCAGATTAAACCAGATTAATTAACAGGTCTAAGACCCTTAGCTCCCCTGCTGCACTCATCCCTTTAAGACTGGGATATTAAATGATTTAAGATACCACAGTCATAAAGTTAAAGATGAACTGGGGAAGTAAGGGACCATTGTTGGCAAATGTGACAGATATGCTCTTTAATGATCTTTTTTCCCCCATTAGGTTTTGGTTAATGTGTAATCATTAACACTTAAAATTAACCAAGAAACCTGCAGCTTCTGTTACTTTAAATAATGCTCTGGGTTCTTCAGTGACCTTCTAGATGAATCATATTAAAGAAATTAAAGGTCATTTTCACCAATGCCTTTGTGGATAGCGGTCACTGTGGTTTGCTGGAGTACCAACATTTTTCAAAATGGCTTTGTAACCCTATCCAGACTGATAAAGGCAAATAACTGTTTCTAATAGGTTGGGTACGACATTTTTCTTCGCCCAATAAAAACTGGTGATGCCCATATTGTATTTACATTGGTCATCTCTGTCTGACATTAACATTTGTTGATAATCAGCATGACAAAAAAAAACTTTTTTTTTATGGCAGCGGTTACTTTCTGCTTTTCTGTGATCTGCTTACACATGTGGAGCAGCAGACGCTAACTTCATCTGGCAGTAGTTACTCTGTTTCTGTCCTTGAAGCTGTCTTCATCCAAGCTTTCCTTTGTAGCCCAGATACGGCTGTTGCATGTTGAAAGTGACTCCCTCCTTTCCTTCACAAAGAGGATCTTTCTTCCACACAGGACATCTCATCTGTCAGGAAGACCTAGGATACTAAGGGATCCAATTCTGATGTGAACAACAAGCACAAAGCACTTCTTCTCTCCTGGTCAGCTAAAGCTCCAATGAATCCAATTCCAGTGCCAACTTATCTAGTAGAATGTACTGTTAGTGGAAAGCTAGTCAGGCTACAGGTAGAGATGTAAACAGAGCAAATACCTATGACACAAACCTTTCGCCACCTCCTCTTAAGCCAACAGTTGTACCCAAACCTGGTACATATTTAGGACTAAAGTTTGGATTTAAAGTCTTCACAAGGTCTCCTCTCTTACAAGCTACCAAAGGAACAATATTTCACATCATTTTAAATTATGTACTTCCTCTTTATTGCTTAATCTCCCACTCTGCATTATACGTTTACCACTGCCACTCGAGCAAATTATGATTTCTTAAAGCAATTAGATTTGGTAACAACATATTTATTGCAGTCCCAAAAATACTAATGCAATGGCAGAAAATGCATGAGCTCAATAGGAGTTTCCAGATTTATGCGCAAATGTCATAGAGACAAATGTCTGAAAACCATCCGTGTCTTTATCAGTCTCCTACCTTACTTTACCATCATTAAGACTTTCCCATCATTTTCTGTGAGCTTTAGCATCTCAGCCACCAACAAATATATAAGGTGTTTACCAAGGGCAGTTAGAAACCATACAATTGGATAAATATATTGTTGGCAGGCAGATCCTAAATCTCTGGCACTTGAAAGAGGATGTCCAACCAAGTCATGCTTCCAATTCATCTTTTGCAAAACAGAAAACATTGAAATTGCAAAGACCTTCATGTTTCAATTTATTAAGCAGCTTTAGCAGCTAAAATTAAAAATGGGCAACTGCCTGGCTTATTGCGCTGATGTGAGACTGGAAGGATAGGTTTTTAAATGTCCCAGTTTAATTTTAGTCACATACAGCAGTCTGTTTTTGTCTTCACTCTGGGTCATCTTCTGGTTCCCTCTCCCAGGACCCCTGATGGTTGGGATGGAAATTGGGAGGGGGATCCACACCCTGTGATAACAACACATTTTGAAGGCCTGAATAAACATGTCAAACCGTGCTGGGGTACAAGGGAGTGTTATTTTGTTTGCGACTGTTATCTTAATGTTGGTTAGATATTGCAGTATCTAAAAACATAAATGTATATAATTTTAAACTTGACGTTTGTATCCATCCAAAGCGTTTATCACACCCATTTCCAAAACACAAGGCATTTCTTGTTGTTACTCCATCAGTGGAACGAACATATCTTCTTTAAACACAAAGCAACCTTCTATAGAGCAGTCATGCAGGTTATCAGATGTAATTAAAGTCTTTGAGGGGTGAATAGTGTGATTAAGGTCAATTCAGTTCCACATAATTCAACTACAATCAGTATGCTTCACTTTCACTCATTTAATTTAACCTTAAGGTTAGGTAACCAAGAAATGACATTTACATAACCGTGTCTAATAAAAAATTGACTGTGTTGCATGCTCTACTGTCACATATGAAATTGTCATCCTCTGATATGGCTTAGGACAGGAATGTTAGAGACTAGAGACTCTTCTTTTGTTACCGGTTGTTAAAAACAGTCCGATTTTATCTGCAGCTCCATCTACTGAGCTGCAGTGAAAGTCATATACTTCTAGCAAGGCTATAGAAGGGATATGATTCACTTCCAAACACCCAAGACAGCTGTGGCACAAAAACATAACCAGCAGCCAAAGGGGGCATAATTTTTGAAAAACATGTAATTAAAGAATCATTGTTGAACAGTGTGAAAAAGATGTTTGTTGCAGTAAATCCACACAACTTCAATCCTGGACTTTTCCTTTCCCTCAAAATGAAGTTTCTATCACCTGAAAGCTTTGCAATCTGTCTCTAATCTGAATCAGGTTTAGGAACCAAAGGCAGGAATCTATCCAACTGGTCAAATATTTATCAGGATGCAGAGTGTGACACCTGGCACTTAAAATATAACTGGCTACCAGGCACTGCAGCCAAGTAGTTCTTTGTGCCTGCAAACACTGATTTTGCAATTGAATATTTGCTCCATCTCTAATGGCGTCACAGGTAATATTTCTCTTCTATGTGAATAAGTCCCACCGTATGTGGGAGAAATTTTCAAAAATACAATGAAGGAAAGAGGTCAGATAATTGCAGCACACCATTTACAGGAGATTGTGAAGATGGACAGCTTACTAACAGACTTTTTTTCTGTCATCAATACTACACAAATTCAAACCAGCAGCACCAACAAATGAAAACAAGGCAACGTAAATTCAGACAGAAAGCAATTTGTGCTACAAACATGCACAGAATCCTTGTAACCCCCTGAACAATTACAATTTTTCTGTCACGTCATATGAAATTTTTCCTTAAACAACTACGAAGTCAGAAACACACACTAAAAATGTTTCAATAAAATCTTCAAGACAATCTTGCATGTTTGGAAAAACATCCACTCAGGGCACTCACGCAGAAGCGGCCGAGATTTTCTACAATGCAGCATAACGCTTCACACGAAACCCTGACTGCAACTTTTGCCGGTTATAGTCCTGATTTCACAGGAACTTTGCAAAGTCAACACTATTTCCAAAAATACTGTTACTACTACATTGGCCTAGTCTCCAAACTCCTCTCACAGCTCTCATGAGATTAAGGAGGTAGGCTGTCAAACCACCTGCCTTCCTGTTCAACAAGAATAAATAAACCTTTTTTTTTTTTTTTCTTAACAGTCACAGATCTTATCTGATGATAGATTTCTATGGAGTGACGCGAGCATAGCAGACAACAGCATTCATTCTCAGCCTCTGCTAATTTGTTCTGTGTCTACAGGGAACACCAGGTCAGACACCATTGCTGACTCAGTGAGACAGTGGTTTATGATGAAAATACTGCACAACATACATTACATTTGAGTTGAATAACAATGCTTTACACGTAAACAACACACTTACCAAAATGGGATCTGTGGAGAACCTAATTTTCCTTTTTGGGGGAGGTTCATCCTCATCCGAGAGACCAATAACTTCATAACACTCATCATAATTCTCATAGATTTGATCATCCTCCTCCTCATCGTCTTCCTCCTTCTCCTCCTCCTCCTCCTCCTCGTCTTCTTCCCTGATGACCTGGTCTACATCTCTATCATCCACAAATGCTGCGTTCTCTATCCCATACACCACTGGAGAGACTCTATCCAGAATGTTCTCCTCTACTTGCTTCTCTAGTGAATCCTCCTCCTCTTCCTCCTCCTCCGCTGCTGCTTCATCCTCTTCATTAGTGTCCTGACTCACAGCTAAGTTATCCTCCTTTTTCTCTAAACCAAATCTCTTGTCATCTGCTGGGACTCTACCTTCATATACAGTGTCTGCCCCCCTTTGTGCTTCTTCTGTAGTCTCTTGTGATGAGATTTGAGAAGGAGAGTTGAGGTTTTGTCCTGATGGAAAGCTTCTTTGTAGGTCTTCACAGAATTCGTCTTTCTGCTTATCTTCAGTGATTTCATCGTCCTCACTGTCCGAGGACTCATTCTGTACCACCACCAGTTCAGCTCGCACTGTGCTTCCCCCTTTGGAGTCAGGTGATGAAGCCTTGCTTTGTGGCTTGGGCCCTGTAGGGCTGAGAGCTGGGCCATCGTTACTCTTGGGTTTTTCCGGGTGTTTATTCCGATCTACGTTCAGAAATCCGCCAGCTGACGGCAAGGGCTGTTTCCCATCCCTTGGGGGTGAACTCGATGGTTTACCACCCTCACCAACAGATGTCCTACTAAATCTATCAACTGCTGGTGAGGGGCACTTGTAGCTGTGGTTAAGTGAGGTCGTTTGCTCTGATGAGCGAAGTTTCGGAGTGGCATCTGCCGCCGAAGATACATCACCACTAGCCAGTAATGTCGGTTTAGTTCCCAAAGATCCAGATTTGCTATCTTTATTTTTGATGAGGACATTATTAACAATTGAAGAGTCGGTGACTTCTTTGACAGGAGAAGTAGTTTTGTGTGAGACGTCCTTGGACACAACGGTAGGCTGTATGTGTTGAGTGGTGCTGTGTTGTTTAGGAGATACCACTCCTTCTGTCCCAGCAGATGTGTTGTTGTCGTCTGAGTCATCCTCAACTATATAATTTTCCAACCTCTTTGACAAAGGCCCTGCATTCAGCGACACTCTAGACACATGCCTTTTTTCACCGTCAGCTATCTCATCTGAGCAACTTTTAGCTGCCAATGTGGGTGTTTGCTCCAATTTGCCAGGACTCTCTTTGCATCCCGACGCTCTCCTTGCGTTTTTCTCTTCATCCGAGGCACTTCCGAGGGACAGACGATTAACCACTCTATTTGGGGACTGTTTTTCAGCTGCTGGCTGCTCCTTGATGCCTCTTTCAAAGAGTTTTCTGGTCACAGAAAACTTCTCCGCCAGAGCCACTTTGTCGATCTCAACATCTTCCCCCTTGGGTGTTTTATCTAAACTGTGGGATTCGGGGCTTGAAGCGCTGTTTAAATTAACTCTGTGAGTGCTGACTGGAAACTGCAACTTTGTTGGGGAACCATGGGGTGCGTCAGACTTTAAAGTCTGTTTGACTTCTTGAGACTCTGGTTGCTGTCCATCCATTTGTAGAAATATGTTCTTGATCTTATTCACTCTGGTTCCAAAAGGCCTTCCCCTAGACTCATCCCGGCTTTCACTTGATCCGTTTGCAAATGTTTTTGAGGCATCCTCGGACTTTGGCCCATCAAAGGAGCACTTGATGGCGTGGAAGTCAGACTTGTAAGCATTTCTGTGAGGGGACGCGCTTCTAAGGCTCCTCTCCCCTCCTTTGTTTTCTGTTTTGATCATCTTGGTTGTTTATCGCTGCAACTTCACTCCAAAACAAATCAGCTTTGCAAATGTTTTGATGGAGAACTACAATCTGAGTTTAGGCAACCATTTCCATGGGTCCGGCAGAGATTTTCTGGAGCACTGTCCTCTCAAATCAAACGAAGTCATCTAAAGAAAAGAAAATTAACGTTTTAATTAATTAACAGACATGACACGGAATTAAACAACAATTTCAAAAATGATAATTTAACTCAGACACAACTAGGGCTGCTAACTGTCCATTAATATTTGGAATAGCTAAGGTAATGAGAGGAGCTGTCAAGCATGAAGTTGATACAGAATGGATCTTCTGCATTCTGTTTTTTAAGAGTCAAAAAAGGATTCAGAGGACCATTACTGATGACAAGAAATTTGAAACAGAGGTTAGATTGATGAGAAAAACAATAGTTTTTTCAACAAAATCAGATACCAAAATATGAGTCAATTTTTAATTTTAGCTCTTAACATCTATTTTCACAATGAAGGGAATGAGTTTTATTTAGTAAAACAAAATTTGTTTGTAACTAAATTTATGATGTATAAAAATGAAAATTCAAGCATATTAGAATGATAAATATAATTGTTAAGCTCAAATGTCTAAAAAAGGATGTACAACTGAAAATGCTGCTTATTTTGTCGACATATAGTTCTGATTAACTTGTGATGAATGGCAATAAATTACATACCCTGCAATTAACCCAATTAAAAAATTTAAATAGAGTCCCATACTACTTTTAGAAAATGGAATAAGATATGAAGTTTGGGAACTCAAGCTTTTCACATGGATCAAAATATCTCATTCAGGTTCTTTGGAAGTGTTTATTTTAGGAGATGAAAACAAATAGAGCACAGTAGTTAATTAATTACTTCTTATTTCATCTGAGAATAAACAAAACAAAAACATTTTACTTAAAGAAACATCTAAATGTCACCGGGCTTGGAGGTAAGGTTTGCTTGTGGCTTGCACCTCTGCTGCTAAGAGAGTGACGTCAGTGTATTTTGATCCATATTCAGTTTTCGCTTTTGCTATACTTACCCAGACCTGGAAAACTATAAAATCAAATTTAATGTTCAACAGAGCTCAGAAGAAAGACTGTAAAGTCGTAATCCAACTAAATTCATATGTCTTTTTAAGTCCTTGTGCTCTGTTTATCTTTAAAAAAAAAGTTACGTTAGACTAGTTGTGCTTTTCTTAAAATAACTTTTTGTTAACCGCGAAAAGTGGTGGAAGGTGGTTCCTTCGTACAACCTTGTGAACGAACACTAGTCATGACATAAAAACACATTTTAGACGAAAATCAGAAAGGTTCAGGTGCAACTCAACATTGATTTTAAGGTTAGCTCGCGTGCACAACCGTTTGAGTGGATCTGAATAGTTGTTTGACTCCTAGCTTGAGCTAAACTTAAGCCAAACTACTCGGGCTCGAAAGTAAAAAGAACCATTTGCGGTACTTAAATCGGTAGGTTAACCTGTGTCGATATCACTGGCAACTCCACCCACAGATAAAGAGCGACATAAAGTTCAACTCAGTCTAGCAACACTTCAATAAAGCCCGAACGTTAGTACCTCAGCTTCAAACAATTCATTGTTGCGTTTCAAGTACGAGTCGTTGAAGTAGTTCGCACCGGTCAAACACGGTCTGCAGTGAAAATAAAACGTAAACAACAACTTTCCCGGCCTCTCACCTAGTTGCGTTACAGAGTTTGAAGCCGAAGAGCTCGTCCGAGATTCCAGTTTTGCTCCGGTATCAAACTTGTTCCTTCTCGATCTCCGCCATCATTCCCCGCTCCAGCGGCGTTTCCCTGCCTCCTCTCTTTGCACTTCCAGATCTGTGTGTGCCGCGAGCTGCGCGCGCAGTCAGCCACTTCCAGTCGGGAACGCAGAGATCGGGAGCGCGCGCACATTCCAGGACTGTAACCCACTACTCCTTTTCTTTTCCCCCGACCAACAGTTTCACCACAGCACAGCTTGCATTAAAGAGAAATGCTAAAAGAAACGCGTGGGAACTAGAGCTCACGTTGAACTACTTAAAGAAAAAAATGACTCATCTTGAGTACGAAGATGGAAATGTTGTTGGACTATAACAGTAAATTGTTCAGATTAACATAGACTTTCTTTCTTTCAAGATTTTTGAGCAGTGACCTCACTCTCCTGCTATGATAGTTTACCTTTTGTCACTGAAGCAGTAGCTCTAAAAACATGAGCAATAAAAAGAGCAAACTCTACTTTATTTCATGTTTGAAATAACATGTTTTATCTGCAAATCCTTTTGCAAAAGAATTCATGGCCCATGAACTTATTTTCATTTAACACGTGTCTATTGATCTAAGCTATTCCATTATAGCGCTGCCTCAACATTTTGAGTTTTGTCTTGCTGCAAGATTAACCTCAATCTCTTATAACCTCTGGCAGGTTCTCCTTCAGGACTGACCTACATCTTTTCGTTAACTCTGACCAACCTCCTTTTCCCTTTTAATGACAACCTTCCCCACAGCACGATACTGCCACCACCACCTTAAACTAAAGTAATGACTTTGTATGACACAGCATTTTGCATGTGTTGAGTTTTACTCAAAACTATGCGGACCACATTATTTCATATTCTTGCTGTATCACCTGCATTGGCATTGGCCTGAACACATGAGATCTTAATACCTTCTTTTAATGGCTTTCTTCTTTCCATTATCTCTTGACAGATTCTTTCTCCTGAGCTGTGTAACTCTGCAGCTCCTCCAGTGTTACAATGGACCTGTTGGATTACTGCTCTCCATGCCCATTCCATCTGTTTTAGTATACTAGTAGATGTGTTTGTGCTTTTTCCATTTTCAGATGATGACTTGAAGAAATGTGTTAACAAGTTGGGATATTGTTTTATAGCCTATCACTGCTTTGAACTTCTCTTCTACTTTCTCCCTGATCTTGTTGGTGTGTTTCTTGTTTTTCCATGATGTTGATTGTTCACTAAAACGTCAGACATAGCCTTTTACTGATTTATGAAGGCAGTTGATTGCATAAAGTTAAAGCTTATGGGAGTAAAAAATGGGAAATACTTGCCACATACACTTTTCAAGATGTTATTTGTAAAATAATGTAAAATGATGCATCATTTTCCCTCCATTTCAAAACGATGCACAACTTTTTGTTGTTCTATCACATATAGCAAAACTTCACATTTGTGCCAAAACAGAAAAACATTGCCAGACAATCCCTGTTTTGTTTGCATGACAGTTCAAGATGTTTGAAGAAGGCCTCTTGCTCACAGCAGATGAGGAATCACAGCTGCTTGAAAGGTGCAGCCTGTTATGAGACATGCCTGTGAGCTCAATTAGCTGTTGTTTTATGTCAGCGACATTTATTAGAATATAAACATGCAGAAACACTGGGATAAACAAAATGGAGCATTAAAAACAAGGAAACAAGAAAAACACCTGAGCACAATGCAGTGTGGTTTAAAGTTCTGAGCTTCAGATGGTGAGTAAATGCCACATCACTGATGTTTCTCCATGCCTTGTCTCTCCTCTAAAGTTAGTGTCACGTGACTTTGTGGTTCCTTTTGGTATTCCTTAGAACAATACAAGAAAAGCCAGATAATCCACCAAATGTATATGTGACCTCGATAAAAATAGGCCACAATCAGACATGTGTACATGAAGTTTTTGCTCAATTAAAAGAACTTAAATCAGCATATTTTTCTGGATTCATTCATTTAATTTCTGAACTTTCAATTTTTGTTTTGGGTTTTCTCCTGCTTTAAATGTCCCCAGAGAACAGTTTTCTTCTCTTTATTGCTGGTATCTGGGATTTTCTGTACTGCTGACATCTAATATTGTACAGTTTTATTTCTGCGGTTCCACTCAGAAATAAAGATTTTCTGTTTCCTGTGATCGTCTACCAAGACACTGCCATTCAGCGTCTTGTAGTTTGATTTCCTCGGTGGCAAAGAACCTACGTTACAAAAATATCACCCAGCCAACTGACCCAGGAAACACATACGAAGCAGTTTAGTGGATCTGGAGGACAATATATCTCACCTCCACTTTGATTGATACCTGCTAAGCGTGAGATTTTAACACAATTATGAATTTTTCATTGCTCCAATACAATGTATAAATTATTATCAGTAACTTTGAACACCCGGCCTTATTTAACGCAGCATTATGCAACAAAATGCAAAGAGCATAGTAATTATTGATAAAAACAAACCAGACTGCAGCATAAGCTTTGGACAGATGGTGATCTAGTTATCGGGCGCTTTCTGAGAGCGCTGTCATCTTTTTATGTATCCTAAGGAGATATCCCACTTACAGTTTCAACTGGATGTAACACAAAATACTGACTTTCTATATTATTTTGTTATTATCCTCCCTCACTGGTCTAAATAATTTTAAGAATGTATTAAAAGCATATTGCCTGCTTTTGTACATACACTGGTGTCCTAAAGCATCTAGTGAGACGTCTTTGAAAAAGTCTGAGTCCTCAGGCATTTCCTCTAGAGTTATCTGCATTCACATTCCATCTGAGACGTCATTATCTGATATGTGGAGCTTTTTCTAAGTTTTCTCATGTTCATAGGTTATGCAAGCTCTTTGTTGTTAGTGTAAAACATGGCTTTTCCCCCCTCATTTGTTTTATGTAAATCCATGGAGTCAGACTCAGTTATGGAGCACTCTGCTTTTAACCTCAATTTCATTACTCTAATTTTGCTGCTTAAGGAAATACTTCTGCATATGCAGCAAAAGTGACATCTCAAATTCGCTTTATTCTCTAAAGGCGTACATTCAAAATACCAGTGGTCTATTTCCAAATGCTCAGACGCATTAAAGATTTATGCTGCATGTGCACATGAGGGCTCCATGTGTCTCTGTGTTTTACTTTTGGAGCTTGCAGGAATATTTCCTAGCAACTGTAGGTCTGAAATGCCCCACAGTCTCCAGGCTTGGGGTAACGTCCAAGCAACAGTGGTCGCTGTGGCAACATGTCAAACAACATGGAATGAAAAAGAAAAGGAAAATGTAAAGAGAAATTAGCAGGTGATCTGGTCAGAGGAACAAGTGGAGATTTGCAGGAAATGTTTTATTTTCTTTGTAGCTAGGGACAAAGCAACTCTCATAGTTGCATCTCTTGTTACTTTAGAGAAATGCTTTTGAGCTTATTTACTCACAGCAAATAAAACCAGCCACATTTAATAGCAGTATGTTATCAAACTTTGCGATATTGTTTTGTCACTCAACTTTGGTTTTATACATCTCCAGAAATTTGTGTTTTTCAGTCTTCGTGATGCCGTTTGTTCTCTAAAGTTCTCTAACACCGTCACAGAACAGCTCTATTTATACTCATGTTAAATTACACACAAGTTGACTCTATTCTTTTGTTAGGGGTTTTCAGAAGGTAATTTTATTTATTGTGTGTTATTTAGAGGAATCAGGGTAAAGGGTGTTGAATAAAGAGGCTCCCAACTCTTTCCTGATTTTTTGTATGAAATCACAAGATGTAACAACGGTTACCAGCAGAATATTATCTGTGACCAGTGAGCTTTAGGTGATGGTAACAAACAGCAGTGCATAACCTCTTCAATGTTTTTGATGTGAGGCAGCTGGATGAAGATGGTATGCTGCATTGCAGGAATGTGTGTTTTGTGTTGTTCATGTCCTAGCTTGAACCCAGTCCTGTATCCCAGATATTTACTTTAACAAGATTTACTTTAGCAAGCAAGGGCAAGACTAAAACAGCAAGGATAGTAATGGTGGGGCACTGGCAAAACGATCCTAATCTAAGCTCCAACAACCAAAAGATTAAGCAGATGATTTCAGGCCATCAGACAAAAGTTCACTTTTTTGTTAATTTGGATACATGAGAAATAATCCTCCTCTGCTGTCTTTGTAACATGATTTTAATAATTTCAGGTCTCATAATCCCATCAGTATACCTACACAGACACAATGCTGCCCTCTTGTGCAGAGAAGACGAGTCTGTCTTAGAAATGCTTTCAAAAGTAGAAATTATTAAAACTTTGTGTGGTAACTCATTTAAGATGAATTTACATTTTATGTTTGGAGAAGGGGGTTTTATTCTGCGATGGCTTCTCTGGTATGTACTGACCCAAACATTATACTTCATAATATCGGCATTTTATTCTTTATTTCAAAAGCATGATATTAAATAAATTATTGAAAAAATAGTAAACTTTGAGTACATAGGATACCAGGAAGAAAAGAAAACCTGTGTTAAGATTTTTATTTTTTTATTTTTAAAGCTGGTTCAGTTGTTGGACAATCTCTTTTGTGGACCAAAAATAATTGACAATTGTTTTTCTTTTTAATATTTAAATTTTTTTTCAGCACATCAGTGTTTCTGGGCTGCACAGTGGCGCAGTTGGTAGAGCTGTTGCCGTGCAGCAAGAAGGTTCTGGGTTCGAGCCCCGGTCTTTCTGCATGGAGTTTGCATGTTCTCCCTGTGCATGCGTGGGTTTTCTCCGGGTACTCCGGTTTCCTCCCACAGTCCAAAAAACATGACTGTTAGGTTAATTGGTCTGTCTAAATTGCCCCTAGGTGTGTGTGCGCATGGTTGTGTGTCTGTGTTGCCCTGCGACAGACTGGCGACCTGTCCAGGATGTACCCCGCCTCTTGCCCGGAACTTTAGCTGGAGATAGGCACCAGCACCCCTCCCGACCCCACTGAGGGACAAGGGTGTTCAGAAAATGGATGGATGGACATCAGTGTTTCTAGGAACTTCTAATTAATTATCAATGAATTTCTGTTTCCCTGGGCTACATCTGTGACATGACACAGAGGTCAATTTCTGTCAGCCTAAGGCCTCTGGTGACATATTTTGGGACATTTGAGGAAGACCCACGTTGCAGCACGACAGTAACAGATG